TTATTACTTTGAGGGTTGATATGGTGACAGCTTCTCCTCTTGAGTTCAAATTATCTCATTCAGGCCTAATCTATAATTAATTTACATAATCTGTTAAACATTAGTATTATGGATGAATACTACCTTAATCATAACTGTTTATAAAATCCATTTCGAATATTAATTCAAAAAGCATTGATGGGTCCTTAAAAGGGCGAAGGCCACAGTGTGCTCGCTAATGACGGCCTTTGAGCTAAATATAGAATTCATCACTCTTTATGCTAAACGTCTGTGTTCTCCATGGTTTCAAGAGCATGAATAATTAAAGACATGACATCACATGTTTCACATCATTTCTGAATGCAGTCTTCAGTGCAACCCCTTATTAAGGACGGTAGTGAAACTAATTACAAGATAAAATAATATTTGTATAATCAACCTGCATCAAATCCCCTTCACATGTGTTAGTTAGTTCTGTATCTCGACATCATCATGTAACATCACAGATTTCATAAAGTTAATCACTGTGACAGTAAATGCTGCCAGTGTAAAAGCCTGAATGGAGAAATTAGAGACTTTTTAAATGGAAAAATTGGAGATGAAAAGGACAAAGCCATAATAGCATGAGATGAGAAAATGACTCGATTTAATCTGCTGTCTGTCTTCCCTCCTTCCTGTAGTGCTGGTGTCAGCAGGCAGTGACACACCCTCTCACTTATGATTGATTTAAATGGGCCTGATGAGCCAAAGCCATGCTTTAAACTCTCAGCAGCAGATGAGGGCAAGATACTCTGCTGCTGAAAACTAAGTGCAGTCATTCCCTTCCTTTGTTCTTAAAGAAGAAAAATGAGATTTAAAAGATTAAAAACAGACTGACTTGACATTTCAAGGTTGCGTAAAGTCACCGGCTGGACTCCGTCAATTTTCAGACAGGAAACACTTATGTGTTGTCTTTGTACAGTTTTGAACATCGTCTTTTCTTGTGAAATTTAGCTGTGAGATACTCAATGTGCACTTAATGAACTATTAACATCGTTCAGCATTAGTCACGATGAGGAAAGGCCTGCTGCCATGCTGTTTAAGAGACAATTATCATAAATATAGTATAGGAAGTATGTTCTTCTTGCAGAGCAGATGCAAAAGTTGCTTATCAAAGTGTTTTTTTCTATCAGACGCATACAGTCATTGTGGATGGGGGTGCAAATACTATCCCAGCTCTGAACAACAATGTTCATAGGAGGGGCAGAAACTCCAGATGTCAAAAGCAGAGACCAGGCACAAGTGTTGAAAAGTGTTGAAAAGGAAGAAGACTTTACAAACCTTCAAACAGTCTGCTGGTGTTTCTCTGCCCACAAACCAATCACCGCTTTAAAAGTTATTCACTTTTCTCCAGTGAAACTCGTCTGTCTCCCTCCACTCAGCCTCCCCCCTCACCTCTCCTCCCCTTCTCTCTTATTTTTCATTCCTGGTCTCTCTTCCCCACTGTCTCTGTTTACTCGTTCCCTTTCCATTTCTGCCTCTGCGGCATCTATTGATAGATCCTAAAGTTCAAGTCCTCTGCCCTCAGAATGCCAAACAGTGTCTACAGCTGTGCCACCGCAAAACCACCGATCGATATATTCAGTCTGGTGTTAACTTTTACCGTTACACATCGCACAAGTTTAAATCCGAGCAGTGAGGCAAATACTGAAATCAATATTTGAGAAATAAAAGAAAGACCACAAATATTCTCTTTTGCATTTTTATTCTGGTTTTATTTGTCAGATTACAAACATATTTTTTAAATATTGCAAGAATAAATATGTGAAGCTACATGGTATCTGTATATATAAATATATAATCATGATCAGATTATGTCAGTAAATGAATAAAACATGATGTGAATGGTAGAGTCTCACCTTTGCTCTCTTTCCCTCTCTCTCTCATCATAATTCTTACTTTTCCAACTGCTCATCAATGATTGATCATTAATATTATTGATGCTCCTTATCAAAGGCAAACTGAACGTCCGTCAACTCATTCCTGCCTGTTAAATTCTCCCTGGACTGAGCACTTCAAACGACTGTGAGGTCACGGGGATACGTCCCAGTGGAATCATCGGGATGTGTAAATCACGCTTTATTTTTAAATGCAGATGTTCCTCATGTCACAAAGTCCTACCATCGATTCCATATGTTTCTGTACATCTTCTTTTACATCTGTGTGCTGTGTTTTTGAAAGTTGTGTGACTGTCACTGCTAATTGCAATCTATTACTCCTCAATATTAAAGATGCATTACTACTTCTACCTCTACTACTACTACTACTACTATTAGGCAGTTTGTTTAATTTACTTTTGTCTGTTTCGTTGATTTATATAAATAAGGTTTATTATTACATATTATTATTATTACACTTACTGCAATAATTAAAAATATGTGTCATAATGTGCTGTTCTCCTTGTGTCATACAATCAAAGTTCTCACTGGTTTACTGTTGTTCAACAATACACAAAATACAAAACACCCACCTGATCTCAAGAGAGGCTCCTCTTCATCCATGATTGTCTGGTCTCATTATCCCAACAATAGATAACTACCACTCTAACACGATTGCCTTTGTTTATCTATGAAAGCAGGGTGCTTAAACAGAGGCTTTTATTTACAGTGACGCATCAGAGAATGTATAAAATAACAATGTTTCGTATTGCCCTCCCCCCCAAAAAAAGAAAGAACGAAAGCTTTGTTATGAAGTAGGAACATTTTGTGATTGTGCAGAGACGAGGGGGACCGAGTTCCCCTGAAGAGAAAAACTGTCTGTGGTCACTTTCTATTTGTTTCATGTCTCTTGAGGTTTTTATCTGTTTATCATAAACGGGTATTCATGATAATCTCAGTGAGTAATACTGTATTGTAATACTGTATTGTAAGTGTTCAGCAGTTTTGCAGAACAATGATGTGAACTTGCACAGTGAAGTCTTTGTGAACTGTCATTATTCTCAGGGCAATTTCACATGAACGGCTCCGCATGTGTGATGCGTGTTCAGCAATCGCTTGTCATCACCACATTTCCTGTCAAAAAGCGTTGTTAATGAAAATATGAAAACGCTGACTGCCTTCATTTCTGTTGCAGGAACTGTGGCGCATTGAACAATTAATTTACTCTCTTTGCCAAAGAGAATCAAGATTTTTAATGAGTTATTTGACTTGATTATGCGAGATCAGAGAACTACTGGAGCCACTGCTGTTCTTATTATCTTGTTCCTAGAACTTTTAGAGCCTGTGTTTTAATAAAGTCTCATGAGACTCAAAGACAATGCAGAGGATACTCAGCCTCATCTAAAGAGTACTGGAGCCTGAGGACTGTTTGTTCAGTGAATGTGACAGGGCTGGATGAGGTCTCAGCTACTGTAGAATAAAATTTACACAACATTGAGCCTCACATCCCAAAAATGTAGAGCACCCTCACCAGCACAAAACCACAGAGATGTGTCATTTTAATTTCAGTTAAGAAGACAACATTTATGATTAGTTAATTAAAAGAATGTCAGCAAAACACTGCAATTAAACAAATAAAAAAGAATCCAACACAAAACGTGTTGTGAAAACGTGCAGGGATGGCCTGATTTATTTGATTTAAAAAAAGTATTTTGTTCCATATGAGTCGTATTTTTACTCTTTCCGCTCGGCTCTGCAGCTTGTGAGTTGGCCTGACTTTTGAGTTGGAGTCTAACATCTTGTATTGCTGGTGAGCTCATGGTGGAGTCTGTTGCTTTGGCTGAGGAAGCAGCGTGTGTGTGGCTGAACACGTTGGTCCAAAGACTGTGTTGTAATTCAGTGAAATGGAGACGTGAAATGGTCGATAGGTGTGAATGTGAGTGATGGTTGTTTGTCTGTGTCCTGGGTGTACCCCACCTCTTGCTCAATGTCAGCTGTACTTCGCTCCAGCTTCCCCCGGAGAACACTCAAAATGATTTGCGGTATAGATAATGGATGGATATTTGTTTTCATATCCTTTAATTATTTTTATGTATTTGAATTTGAATTAAACTGAGCATGATCTGTCTTTGTATTTACACCAGTGAAATCAGTGGCTGATTGGTTTACCAACATAGAGCCAAGCACAAGACACATCCTTAATTTATTTGTGGGTCCATTAAAATAAACCCATCTGCATCTAGAGTTGAAAATTACACCTGACATTAGTTTTTAATTCCCTTTACTCCTTCAATTAGTTTAAGTGATCCTCTTCAGGTTCACTATGCCATGAACAAAAATATCAATAACCCAACCTTTTAAAATGGCGCACTATGATTTAGTTGACATTCTGTCTGAAGCGCTGCACAGTAGAAATCCTTTTGGGTTCAGTGTCTTGTTAAATGTGCCGTGTGGACATAGAGACCGGAGATAAAACCACCAACTCTAATGAAAACAATCATTACGTAAATGTGACCCTGCATATAAAATGGGAAAAAGAATCTGTATTTGAAGTAAATAAATTCACATTTATTTCACCAGTTATTTAAAAAAAAGTTTTCATGTTTAAACCTGACAAACGACCCTGTTGCTATTTCCTGTCACTCTTAAAGTAACCGGTGTTTGCTTCAGTAACTTTCATTCAAATCACCTGTGGAGCCGAATGCATGGAGACAATAGAAAGAGGAAGTTGTGACAAAATGTTACAAACACTTATAAACAAGATGGATAACGTTGCTAGGAGACCCTGACATAAGCCATTTATCCCAGAATCAGCTGCAGCTGAGTACAGACTGTATGTACATGTGTGTGTTTGAGTGTGCGTGTGTGTGTGCGTGTGTGTGTGCGTGTGTGTGTGCATGTGTGAGTGTTTGTGGCTGCTCTTCCCACTGCGTCTGTGTGTCCTTGCTCCAGCTCGTACTATGAATCCGTCAGCATCTCTCTCTCTCTCTCTCTCTCCCCCTCTCTCTCTCTCTCTCTCTCTCTCTCTCTCTCTCTCTCTCTCTCTCTCTCTCTCTCTCTCTCTGAGTCAAGGCTGTTGGTTGGTGCAGAAACATAAATCCCAGTGAACTCAGTTGTGCCTGGAGAATGAACAGCGGATGATGCTTGAGATTTTCCTTAACTCAAAGCTTTTTGGCAACCGTGTGCGTTTGTCAAGGTCAAAGAGCAAATAACGACTCCTACTCATCACACGTCTTCTCTCAATCAAGTTCCTGTTCTTTCCTCCACAACAAGAGCCCTGAATGGAAGATTAAGCGGAGACATGCTTGAACATCACTTCGGGCGGCGGAACAAAGGGAGGTGAGAGGAGAGGAAGCTGCAAGTGCCCTGGGTTGTTTACTCTGAGGTGTTGGATGGTCAAGCTTGCAGGACGCATTCCGTCTGCCTCTCAGCAGACATTTAACAAATCCCCAGCAGAGGCGCAGCGCGCTTCAAAGCTCTGAGGGCTGATGTGGTGCCAGCGAAGGTGGGGGGGTTAGTTTTCATTCAGCTTGAAGAAAAGAATCATTTCTCCTCCTCTCCTGCACCGACTGCTCCTCTGTGTCCTCTTCTCATGAGCACGTCTAAATTGTGTCTCTTTTGTGGTGCTGGTGGTCGGAGCTGGAATGAAGCAAAAGATGAAATGAACACTCTGCAACTCCAGGGACCTTATTTCCTCGTCTGCTTTTCAGTCTCATCGTCACCTTTCCTAACTTTTGTCCGGTTTTCCTCCACTCCTTCTTTTATTTAATTCCCATTTTCACTTCTCTACGTCTGTTGTGATTTTTTTTCCTCCTCTTTCTCATTTAAAAATATCCACCACTCTCCTTTTCTTAGCCTGAGGGCAGACAGGATTGAGTGTGCACCTACTACACACTCTCCCTCCTAATTGCCAACCCTTTCCTCCATTCCTCTCACACCCCACTCCTCCTCAGCACTCACTCTCTCACACCATCCCTCGCAGCCATCCTGTCAGAATGTTCTCTTCCGAGGAGCTGTGGAACTCCACCGAGCAGGTCTGGCTCAACGGCTCGGAGAGGGTGAACTTCTCTCTGGGAAGGCGCGAGAGCGACGACCACGAGGAGGAGGATGGGGATCAGCACCCCTTCCTCACAGATGCCTGGCTGGTGCCCCTCTTGTTCTCCCTCATCATGCTGGTGGGTCTGGTGGGCAACTCGCTGGTCATCTATGTCATCTCCAAACACAGGCAGATGAGGACTGCAACTAATTTCTACATCGGTGAGTGAGAGGAAAAGCACGTGTATGTAAATCTGTGTTTTGGTTGTTTGCAGAAGTAGCTTTGTGTGAGAACTAATGCAATAAACAGTTTCTGATCAGTGGCAGAGGATGCACAGCGGATCATGGACTCAGCTTCGAACACATCTTCCGTGCATCTCACGCTTCTGATCTTATGATGTGCATCTCTTTCATCTACCCTGTGACACCCCCTTGCATACCAATGGTGGGTTCAAAAGACTGTCCAGGGTGCACGAGCAGGCACTGTTGTTTTGCTCAATTAGAACCCAGCTAGCAACAATGTCTGTGTTCATTCCAGGTTTTTACTTTCCCCATTAGAGGAGGAGACAGGGGTTGAGATGTGTCCTGAATGCCAGGGTAGTTTCTAAGATGTTCACCTGAGAACCTATCAATAGGTATAATAATGATCTGCTTGGGGTGTTGAGCAGGTGTTGCTGACATAATATGAGCTTATTAGTTTGTACAAGGATAAAAGTGCTCAGGGCTTAAAACTTGTTACATGTGTTTGTGCATATTTGAAAAAGTGCGGCTCCTCTGCACATAACGCCAAGGGGATGAAAGATATTAAAGTCATCAATAATAAAGTTTCCAAAGAAATGCATCTGTGATACTTGGAGAAATATTCAGCCTGGAAAAATGAGGGATAAAAGTCCAAAAATTCAAAACATTGGACAGCAAATGCAAATGAATGAGTCTTTCCATGCACTGCTGTTTTGTGAATATTTGGAGTTGGTTTGTCACAGTGCTTATTCTCTATACACCATCACAGAGGAAGAGGGAGCAGCGAGATGATTTAAAGAGTTCCAGCCTCAAAAAGCTGAAAAAATGAAGAGTATGTGATGAAAAAGAAGTTTTTATGTTAGTTTCTTGTATTTATTTTAGAAACATTACTGGTCTCTCATCGCTTCACACGTCTGCTGTTTTCATTTCAAGTCCAGTGGAAGCTTTGGTGAAAGTTAAATTTTACATTTAAAGACATAAAAAGTGTTAATTCTTTTTCCCAAACTAAACATGTGCATTAGAAAAGATGGATGGAGGATTACATTAATCTTCATCTTCAATAAAATGAAAGAAAGAGGAACATCCATCATGCACCAGTCGTACGTCTCCTTGTATTCAGTGAAAAAAACCTGTGATTGATTTTTGTTGATCAAGTCAATTACAAGAACATCGGAGCTGTGGCGCCACCTGTCAATTGTGGAGGATTTCAAACGTGACTGGTTAATGGAGGTCAAGTCCAAAGAAAATGAGATGTCACTTGTCAGAATGTCATGAGGACGCACCGTGTGTAAATGAACTCATCTGTCGATGTGTAAATGAGGTAATTGTATGAATGAGTGTTTCTGCGTTTGCACAGCACTCCGTGCATGTGACAAGGATTTCATTTTTGATGATATTTCAAGGCTGCAGAACTGAAACTGTTTCATATGCAGCAACATTAGATTAGCGCCTGCACCATCTGCCCATCCTTTCAACATAATGGTCCAGCTGCTGTGATGTGATTAGATCTGCAGGTAAAGCAAACAGGAACTCGTGTGTCAGAATGAAAGATCCGATGGAGAGGAGAGAAAACCAGATCTGATTACCCGTCACTCCGACCTCTGAGTGGAGCGCTATCGAAACATGAAATAGAGTTTTTTGTGAAGATACTTGGCAGCCACCGTGAAATTGAAATAAGTGTGTGTGTGTGTGTGTGTGTGTGTGTTTGTGTGTGTGTGTGTGTTCTGCTCGACCTGTTGTCAGTCAATCAGCTGCTTGATTTCCTTAAAGCACCTACAGCAAGGAAACACTGGATTTACCTAAACATCACGTTTCACAATCCAAACACAAATCCTGAAGTGGACACAAAATCATCACTTCAGTCAACAAGTTAGATAAAAAAGTGAACGAGAGAAAATGCATTGAATTGCATCCGATTGCACGAATGTTAACTGTTGTTATGTCAGTTTCTGGTAGACACTGGTGATCTGTCTGTCAACTGGGATTGGCTCCCTGTGACCGCCCAGAGGATAAGCACCATATATAATGAATGGATGGATATATTGATAAAATAGAAAATGACAATTTGCTGCATTTTCCCGAAACCCTGTTCGACAAATTCAGATGTGTTCTTGTGTCTAGATAACCATTCCAAACATCAGATTCATTTAATAGAAGAAAATGAGTAAATAATCACATTTGAGAACCTGGAACCAGATCATTTTTAGTGTACTTGCTCAAAGCGACAACATAATCGTGTAAAAAAAGTATATTCACTTTCACCCTGCTTTATGGCAAGGGTGAATAAATGTGATTGTGGTTTGATGTTTCTTTGTCTTTTATCCTCAGGTATTTTGAAATCATCGATTAGATAAGAACCTGACTCACACTATCTGTAAAACATTGCAGTAGATGGTGCTGCGGACTATGCTCCATGAATCACTGCTTACTGTGGTTGTTGTTTTGTGTTTGTGCAGCAAACCTGGCTGCCACTGACATCATCTTCTTGGTGTGCTGCGTCCCCTTCACTGCCACCCTCTACCCCCTCCCTGGATGGATCTTTGGCAACTTCATGTGCAAGTTTGTCGCCTTTCTACAGCAGGTAAAACCATCACCCATGAAAAGAATTAAATCAGAAACGTAATGAGCGAGCCGAACATTTTCATGTTTGAATTGTAGAAATCGGTTGAAGACAGCAGGATTAGTTAGATCCGTGTCCCCATCCACTAACGTGGAGGAAGTAGGGCTTAGAAACTATACTGAACCCAGCCACCAGGGGTTGATCAAGAAGATTTGGCTTTCGCTTTTGGGAAGCTTATGTCATTAATCTTTGTACACAGGTTTCCCCAAGTTGCAGCACATTTGCTATGTCCAGAAACGTACTGATGAGAGCATCCTCCCTCACACATGAATTAATTACATCCATAATGAAAATATTGATCTGTGCCGAGTACAACCACGCAGGAAAGCCCCCGAATGACACAATTGATTGGCTCATATTTGACCCCCACTGCCACAGACTGATCCAGCCCACATGCCGTGTGGAATGATAGCACTCAGGCAGTCCGCTCCTCTTTGCCAGATGGCCTCAAGTAATCCATAGCTAAACCCTATGTCAACCAAAGATGCCAAAGGTTGCCTGAATATGCTTTCTGCTGTTTTTGTTATAGTCACCACTTACAACATGGGCCCCTTTATGTTCAGCTCCAGATTACACCTTGTCCAGAGCATCGCATGTTTGCCAAAAAAAAGGCGAACAGGCTGTATTACAAGTGGACTCACATCAGCCACAAGAAGAACAGAGGCTCTGTATCATTGCCTGAAGTGGCCCTCACATCCCTATTCCAACTGTTGTCCAGCATTGGTCCCTAATATCGGTTGTTTTGGTGCCACAGTGGGTTCAAAGCTGCTCTTGTGGCTGAAACAAGATTTGATGAGCGAGTGGGGAAGAGTCGGGGTAACTCCTGTCTGCAAACAAATCAATTTGTGCAGCTTTAAAAAAAAACAGGGGTTCTGCTGCAGAAACAGATAACACATCTCAACATCTAGCTCCAGCACTTTGTCATAGACGTGATTATTTACACAATGTTTTCTTTTTCTGTGCACCATCTGACTCCATGCAGCTTAATTTTATTACAATTTACCATGCACTAATAGCTATTGTTTAGAAAACAACACCGTCACTGAGGGTCTAAAAGAAGAGGCAGGTTACCACAGCTCCTGTTTAGATAATATGCAACCTCAGTCAGGTGACGCAAAAGCTTAACCAACACAAAATGAGACGCAACTTTCCTTAAAAAAAATAAACTGAGCTCATCTTATATATGCTGTAAATGTAAGTAGCTTTTGTTTAGAGACTGGGTTTGAAGTGAACCTATCTCACAATGAAGTCAGGAGGGAGGAGGAGACGACGTGTCAGGCTCATGAAAGATGTTGAAGGCAGAACGACGAGATGTACGAGGCTAATTTGAGCATAAAAGAGTGAACATGTCAGTCAGTCGGGAACATTCGCAGGCAGAGCGGCTAAAAGCATTTTTAAATTGAAATCACAAAGACACGATTCAATTAATTCATCTGAACATGGAGACTTTTGTGCTCGTCTTTGCTGAGACAGTGACTCTTTCCTTTTTTCACATTCACCTAATCACTTTCTCTGCGGTCTATTGTCCAATGCTGCTCCATGTTTTGAAATGTTTTTAATCATTTTCTGTGAAGCTAAAACCATTTATTACTGCGTGTACTCGAGAGAAGGGTCATTAGGTTTTTCTTACTGATTTCCACGAGTCGGGGGAACTGACTGCTCTGTTTATAAGAAACGACGACTGTTCGCCTGAGAATTTTCTCTTAACTTCTGCAGTTCAATAAAAACAACCAGGGGGAAACAGCTGGTGTCGTAAACCAGGGCTTTGATGAGATTGGTGATCGATACTAATGGAGCGACTGCTGCTTGAGAAGCTGCCAGTTATACCTGTCCTCTTTCAAATAATTGTGTTTTATGAGCTGAACAGTGGAGACGAGACGGTTAACGTTCTTTCACCAAAACTCATTTGAAGAAAAAAAAATGATTTAATGGTTTGTACGACATGTGCAGACGGCAGGAGTCCTTCATGATTGTAATGGAGGAGATGGTGGCACTCCAGGCTATAAAAGGTAACAGGAACAAAACTGGACACAGGACGGCAAGAACAAATCCTTCTATGTTAAATGTCCTGAACCTTACCAAAATAAAATGTTCTTTCCTGACTCCAGCATCCTTGCACACTGTGAGGCGACGGGGGAAAGGTGGACGGAAGAGGAATGACAGGAGACTGCAGCAGATCACTTCCTGAGCACTTTGGACACATCAGACATGATTTATCCCTTAAATGTTCAGCTTTGAAGTCAATACTTTCAGTGGAAACTTCCACATCTATTAATCATTTTAGCATCTTTCTTTGTTTTCCTACAGCCCAAATCATTAACTCAGTCTCTGCGCTCTCGTTAATCTTTCTCCCAGCAGCAGCAGCAGCCAGTGTTGATAAGACAAACTGAAATAAAGCTTTATATTTTATTAACCAACTTAATAACATTAGTTTTTACTTGCGTCAAAGCCACAGAGAATTAGTTTCACACTTTGCCGCTATTGTTCCCGGCAGCTGTTCAGATATTATCTCAAAAACAGAAATACAAGAAGGATTTATTTTATCATTAAGAAAAAAATTTTTTATTTGAAAGTGGATTTCAGCTTCCACTTTGTCAGTGGCCTCGACACCGAACTCCACCTGACCTCTCTGTGTCACTCTCATCATATCCTTTGAAACCTGCTCCTCCGAACCTCTGGAGGCTAATGGCTGCTGGCTTTACAGTCGCCGAGAGGAGGAGAGCGAGAGAAGGGGATAAAGTACATAGACGAAAGAGGGACATAATTAGATGCTATTTGGAAAAGAGCGCATGGAGAACTTCTGACCCCTGAATCCTCCCCCGCTGCAAACATTTCAAAGCAATATGCTTTAGTTTACCTACATACAACACAGTGGGACCCTTAGAGGTGCGTGTGTTTGAAGTGAAATATTTTTCAGAGGAGGATGAAAAGAAGAGAGAAGCATGTCTGCTTCAACCTATGGAAAAACAAAACATGATAAGAAACATTCTCTTATATACATTCTTATATTTATTAAAAGAAATATTATTTATTTTTAAAATATTTTGAATTTTGCATTTTTCTGTCTTCACATGAACACTTCAGCTGTGACAAGCATTCTGCACTAAATTAGCATTCACGCTGATGTGGCAGATTTTAATTGAATCAAACACTATTGAACCCCATTAAAATTTAATTGAATGATTTGTTCACATGCTAATTAAAAATACTTATCACACTTGAAGCTTCCTCCATTCCCTCCTTCAATCTTTCTCTTCCCCTGCAAGCGCTTCACTTTATTGGAACCAGAGTTCATTAGCAAAAACCTCAGACAAGTTGAGAGCGAGGCTGGAATAAAGCTGGACAAACAAACCTTTCTTCTGTGTTTTGTGATAAGGGGTTGACTAATTATAAGGGATGCAGAGACACCATTAAAGCAGGTTTTAGATGTTCTTAAAAGTTTGTGATAGACTTCTTGAGAACGCAACTTTTACCAGGATGTTGGAAATTCTACATCTTACAATAAATAAAATCCTTTTTTCATATTTTTGTTGCACGTTTCTTTTTAAAGGGTGTTTGTTATGTCTGATATGGCAGCAGCTGACAGACGTAGCCTACTAACAACAGAAAATCAGGGCAGGGCAAGACAGTTCCTTGTTTCATCCCATGTTGTTAGACAGATGCATGATCTTCCCATGTTTGCGTGGGTTAAATTGTCCATAGGTGGGAATGCTTGTTTCTCACTCAGTGGTGATTTCACAATGTTGGCTCCCGTTTCCCTCGCAACCCTCAAAAGGATAAGCACTACAGATAATGAATGGATGATTTGTCATAGTGGAAAAACAGCGATGTGACCTCTGTGTAAGGAAAGCTATCCACTTCATCCAATGGCTCTGTAAATGTTAGCGATTCTATAAACGCCTGATCTCGAAAGAAAAATAAAAACATGTGCTCTGGCTGTGGCGTAAGTTCTCCTGGGAAATGATGTGTACTGTCAGCTGTAAAAACTGTGTCGCCAGAAACAGAAAACAAAAGCATAAAGATAACACATATCAAATGTCAGTAGAAATAAAAAAATGGAAATATGTGATTCAACAATGGTCAACCAACTGTCAGTTTGATAAATATGATTCCCTGTATGTGTGTGTATGTTTCCTTGTGTTTCATAGGTGACGGTCCAAGCCACTTGTATCACCCTGACAGCCATGAGTGGAGACCGCTGTTACATCACGATCTACCCTCTGAAATCTCTCCGCCACCGCACCCCCAGAGTAGCCATGATCGTCAGCGTCTGCATTTGGATCGGTCAGTCCTACTCGTCCGATAGACAAAACATTTATTAAATGTATGTTTTCTTCTAGTTCAACTAACACGGTCCTCGTCCTGTCTCAGGCTCCTTCATCCTGTCCACCCCCATTTTGATGTACCAGCGTATAGAGGAGGGATACTGGTACGGTCCCAGACAATACTGCATGGAGAGGTTTCCCTCTAAAACACACGAGAGGGCTTTCATCCTCTACCAGTTCATTGCTGCCTACATGCTCCCCGTCCTCACCATCTCCTTCTGCTACACTCTGATGGTGAAGAGGGTGGGTCAGCCCACTGTGGAGCCTGTGGACAACAACTACCAGGTGAAGCCACGGTTTGTTTTGTGAATAACTCTGACTGCGGGGTTTAGGATATGGCTGAGCGGTTCTGATTCTGAGCCGATTAAAAGCTTTTCTCTGTGAACTTAAAGGCAAAGCAAAATGGTTTAATTAAAACAATGGATCACACAACTGTATGTAATGCATGTAAGACTTTGTAGCTCCCTGACAGCTCTAAGTTTTAAAAATAAAGCCATTTCTTAATAATAAAAAAACAGCCGATAAACTCACTCCTCCATGAGACATCAGTGTTTTTGTCAAGAGTTTATTTCTGCCCCAAGTGGCTTTAAAAGAGTTATAGTAGATCAAAACAGTTTTATGTGTCAAACAGTTCCTTCCATCTGCCCCTCAGGTGAACCTCCTATCTGAGAGAACGCTAAGTATCAGGAGCAAAGTGTCCAAGATGGTGGTTGTGATTGTCCTCCTCTTTGCCATCTGCTGGGGACCCATCCAGATCTTCGTCCTCTTCCAGTCGTTCCATCCAAACTACCGAGCAAACTACGTCACATACAAGATCAAGACGTGGGCCAACTGCATGTCGTACGCCAACTCCTCTGTCAACCCCATTGTTTACGGATTCATGGGAGCCAGCTTCCAAAAGTCCTTCAGGAAAACCTTCCCATTCCTTTTCAAGCACAAAGTCAGAGATAGCAGCATGGCGTCAAGGACCGGCAACGCCGAGATCAAGTTCGTCGCGGCAGAGGAAGGCAACAATAACAACGCTGTGAATTAAAAACGACAATTCAAAATAGGAGGAATGAGATTCACAAGGTCCAGAGCCGTTGCATGAAGACAAAGAAAGACACGATAAACATCAGCCTCCAGATCATTGTGTGACTGAGACGTTTGGCAGACACATTTAATTTATGTTCATTAATACAAACCGATGTGGAGAAACAAAGACTCATAATACGCTTTGGAACAATATGTCAGCCTTTCCACTGCCAGAGCCGGGCGGCGTTGGCACAACGTGTCGTCCACGTAACCGAGGACAGACGTTCATGTCTGTAGAAGAAAAAGGGAAGGTTTAAAACATGGACAAAAGATTCACAGGTCCTAATCATGTCTGCAGCTTGTAAAGTGTCCAGCATTTGGACGGATGATGGTTAAAGACAGTTTATGAAAACTGAATGTACATTTTGAATTGAGTATTCTAGAATAGATGCCCATGGACATGTTATTGTTTTAAATGTATGTTGTTGCACCCGTCACTACAAAGAAATAGAATAATTCAACGGGAGACACTTTAATGATCTGTTTTCATATTTTAAATAACTTTATCACATAGGGGGAAATTACCTAATTCACTTCTTAGATGAATAGATTGATACCAATCTAATGTCTCATCACTAAACATGAAGCCAGAGCCAGGAGATTATTAGCTTAGCTTAGCACAAACACTGGATTCAAGGGAAAACAGCTAGCCTGTCTCTCTCCAATATACATTCAAACTATGTGCGGCCCACAATTGGCTCTACCTCTCTCCCTATTTTTTCAAACTACTGTGAAGTAAATTTAAATGTTGCTCGTCCTTTTATATGATTTTTTAACATTATAAGTTTTAAGATGAACCGACTCAAGCCTCCTAACTCTCCATCATTAATCTCTCTGGATGTGAAAAAGAAAGACAGTAGTCTTCATCTTCTTATCTAACTCTATGGCACAAGCAGAAATGTCAAACTACACTTTCAAAATCCATCTCTGTATCTTGTTGTCAAAGTGCAAATACTGTATATCTGGACCTACATGATGGTCTATTCCTTTCTCTTCCTCTTTCTCTTCTTCTTCTTTCTCTTCCTCCTCCTCCTCCTCCACATCTCCTTCTTTTTGGACTATGTTCAGGCATCTGTTATTTCGGGGATGACACAGGGTTAACACCATGTTTTTCTCTTTGTATGTTGAAACAGCCCCCAGCTGAACCCCCGTTCAGATGGGGGCTGGGGGAGCCGAGGTTACAGCAGGTGAAACATACACTGTGTTTACCTTTCTTTTGTGTCAGATACATAGACACTCACACCTTGGCACTTGGCACATCCAGGTGTTGTTTACTGGAATCAGTCGTCACAGTCCCGCACACTGTCCTGTACTGGGAAAAAAAAATTGTGCAAGTACATGACAGCGTGCGGGCCTGTTCAGCGTTGCTGAGAGACCTGTTCAGCCGTCTGGAAATGGAAAACAGCCGATCATTGTTAGTCAATCTACTGAGTCCCTGAAAGCTCTCCGCCATCTAGACTCAGTCCTTTTTTCTGTCCATCCCACTCACTGACATTCAAAAATTCTAAACTCCAATTTCCAAAGTCGTGCTAATACTAATTTGAATTGTAGATATGCCAGGACTTGCATTCATCAGGGCTCCATTTAAATGACATCAAAGTGTCTCAAGAGGAAAACCAGAGCTCCATAATGAACAGAGAACAAGAAACAGAGCGGTGCCCAAGGATTGTGATTCATCGAGCAAACATTTGACCATACTTTGCACACAGAGCGGTGAAATGGCCATGTGCCTCACTTCGACTGAAGACAGTAATCAGTGCAGCACAACAGACAGTGAAAGGTTTAGGTTTAAGAGAAATAATGAATTCTATGGGTTGAAGTTGACTGCAGGTCATTTATTTTTAACCGAGTGTTGCTGTGAAACATAACATGTTTAATTAAATGCTAATGACTACTCATTACTTTTTAATGTATACTCATTATTGTGCTGCATTTCTGCCCCATGAGGCTGTGTGCTTTACATCCATTAGGACCAAAGTTATCAATGATTGTGTACGTTTTCTGCTTAAAATCCATTATTATCTTGTAACTAAACTTGTGAGTCTTAATAATAACATCTGTTTAACAATGTTTGGTTGAGTTCTTTCAATACAGAGCAATAGATCTGCCCACACTGTCCCATTCATTACCTTAAAAACAAAGACTCAGCTCCACCGTTTCGGTTTCAGTTAACCGAAGCTCTGAAAACATGTTCAGTACATGATGCTTTTACATCACTGTGCCTGGTCGAGCTGAATGAAGGCGGCAGGAAGAGGTGACCAGTGAGAATGTGGGAGGGTTGATTCATTGAAAAGCTTGGAGCCAGTAACACAGAGGTCACGGTGAATTTCAGCCTTGTGTTTATGACAGATGTTTCTGATGTCATCCGTGATGCATTCACATTGCACAGATTCTCTTTGTGTGGAAGCGGAGGCATTTCTGAACGCAGCAGGAGCGTCAGGCTTTTAAGATTTATTCATCGTCCTAAGTGCTGAGATATAAATATACGTTATCTTTAGTCATATTCAGTCAGTGTTTTAGTTTTTAATAATTTCACACCATTAAACATCTGGAAATCAGATGTCGAGGGGCCATTTAGCTGTGAAGGCTGAAAGAGCTGAACCTTTGCTCGCTCATTAAATTTCTGTTTCACACGAGACAATGCAGTGAAAAAACTTGACCTTCTCTTAAAATAAATCCTGGAAGACTATAAAGATCTTGTCATCGCTTTCATTTTGCAACACAGGCCGAAAAAATGTGATTCTTTTTTATTCTTTTTTTTTTAAATTACAGATCATTGATTATTTTACATCATTACATTTTACATATGTCGATTCTGTGTCCACAGCCCTGTATAGATCTGCTAATGTAGAGTTCAACACCTGCTGGTCCTTTTTGTTCAAGTGCTGTTGTTCTTAAGTGTTCACACTGTCTATTTTGAATTTTGACAATAAATATGATGTAACTCCACTTTATTATTTTATTGGAAGCGTGCTTAAGTCGATGAGCTTATAACCTGCAGGCAGAGGCAGTAACCCACATGGAGCAAGCGCAGCACTACTACTATATACTACTAGTAATAGTAACAAATTAAGAGAAATCAATCAGCTTCCAAAACTTTGATTTAAACGTCTCTGTCGGGGGTAAATGCTTCACATCGTCGTAGCTTTCTTTCTGTCACTCTGATAACTTTAACACTGGGGGTAATCAGTCATCCCTTATTAACTTGAGAAGTGGTTCAGTTCATTCAATCAAAATGTAGAGGAGCAGAATATTCCTCATCCCCAGTGAGTCCTCACCAACAAGCAGCATATTCCCAACATTAACCAGCAGCAGCTTGATATCCACACGTTACCGTCCACTGACAGAACTTGTTTGTTGTGTGATTACTGCTGCCTGAATGCTTTTATTAAAACTCCAATCCCTCACAGTGCTGTTGATATGTCATGCAGCCTATTTCCACCACTGTTATATCACTTACTGAATGAAAGAAGAGAAATAATCTCAGCTGACACACATGCTATTCTTTTATTCCCCTCTACATCTTTGCCTCTACTTTTAAATGATCCCTCCTTTCATTTAGCTGTTATACAACCTTCTTTTTGTAGTTTGCTGCATGCAAGCCATCCTCTCTTGTTTCTACCACTTCATTTTGTTGAGGAAGCACATTGGGGGAAAAAAACACAAAATAACTGAATAGAGAGCAACACAATGACTGAACCAGTTCTTTTACCGATGGTGTACAAATATACATCACTTGTTTTGTTTACCACGGTTGAAGTAAACAGTGATGCTCCTTTTGCAGCTTTTATTCAGTTGGCAGCTTCGATTAAACCACTAAAGATTTTAGTGGTAAATTACAAATGAGGATCTTTTACTCAAAAACTATTTGACATTTAATTATTTTGCCTTTTATTAGAATGATTGTAGGGCAGCATGGTGGTGTGGTGGTGCCATCGCCTCACGGCAAGATGGTTTGAATCCCAGCTTGGCCAGATGCCGTTTACCCTACACATATGTTTACTCTGGATACTCCAGTTATATGCAAATTTGGCTGAGGTTAATTCAAGGTTAATTCTTTGTTGGCAAGATATATTGGACAAGCCCAAATATCAGGTTTGATTGGCTCTAGCTCCCCCCCAAACCTAAAACAAAAAGGATAAACCAGATAGATACGGGATGAATGGGTGGATATAGGATTGTAGGGTGGAGAGAAAGTTCCTGGTTCGATTCCTAGTTTGCATTGAGTGTCTGTTTGTGTGCCGGCCCTGCAATACACTGACAAGGGTTTTATCCAACGTCAACTGGGATTATCCTCAAAGGATAATTGGTAACCGTATAATGAATGAATGCATGTATGACGGGAGATTCGATTTTAGCAGTGAAGAATATATTGTCATACTCTTGTATCAAAATTCTTTATTGGCATTGCTCAGGTGCAATAAAGTTGTAGGAGGCATCTCTCTCCAGTCAAGATATACATACATTTTATTAATTCTTTATATTCATGAGGAGGCCGGCTTCCTTGTGAGATAAACTTCCTCTGTGTTTTAACCAATCAACAAAAAGGTGTAAAACTGCTTTAAGATTGAGGTTGTCGATGTTTGTCTCTGCCGTTGTGATGTTGGGAGGGTCAGTGCTGACAATGATATCCACAGTCTCGCACCTTCCTGAAAGATCATCCAGCAACATCCCTGCTGTCCCCCTCGACATGCCTGCACTTGTTGTGTGCACTTCCCAGCCCTTCTCCTGTTTCTATGGGCTGAGATATCTCTGCTGTTGGTCTCAGTTCTTTAAAATAGCTCTTTAGGAAGCAGGACGAAAAAAGAATCATGTTGATCTAAAGATGTATGCGTCAGTCTGTGGGGAATAAAGTCCAAATGAGGGGTTGGCTTTTGTCTAACAGACTTTAAAGGTTTCATACACCTCTTGTGCGGCCCCTCAGACGCAACGCAAACTGTTCTACGTGATTAATAAGCTCACCTGGCAGAGTGCTCAGCTCCCACAGGAAATTAACTTTCAGATTAGAACATTTAACATAGATGATTAAAAATTGTTTCGCAGAAAAGCCAGGAGAGAAGCAGAGGTTTTTATTTGCCATCCTGGTAAAAGCCTCAGCACTTGACAATCAACTGGGGATGTGACAGAGAATTAAAACAATGTTTTAATGTCACTCACAAACTGCCATCATTGCCCCCACAGTGCCTGCTGGTCAATGTAGCTGTATTTAAGCCTTAATGAGATTTAATGTTCATTTTATGAGCTCGTCAACAGAGATAATTCATCAATCACAGAGTCGAGTGTGGGCAATCAATTAAAGCTAAATTGTATCTGATTGTGTCTGACTGTATCTGTTCTGACATCACAGTCTAAGACCTGGAGAAGAACGAGAGATGAAACATCAATTTGTCTGTGAAGAAGAAACCCCTTCAGGAATCAAGTGTTTCCCTCAGAGTAAAGTGTAAAGCAGTTACCGGAAATTAC